AACCTAGACTTACAACCAGAAGAAAAAAAAAAAAAGAAAACAACCTGGGTAATTTCATTATTTTTAAGGAAAATTTTACTCACATATAGATAAAGGCAAAAGGTGAAATGCGGGTCACTGATGATGAGACAACCAGTGATCTTTAATAAATTAACTCGGATTTTTAAGGAGCAGAAAACAGCATGAGTCAGAAGGGGGAAAATACTACTGATAAGACAGCTGCTTTGGGGGGAAGGGTGAGATTCTCTTAAAGAGCTGAGAAATCGATATGTGTAGTTAAAGCTGCTAAGGACAGACTAAGCCTGATGCTGAGATCTAATGCACCCTGACTTAAATTGAAACCTGTGCTATTCTATTATTTTAAAATCGACAAACACTTAAGGACCTTGTCAAGGACACTAACTTGGAAAGAGAAGCCTCGATGCTTGGTGAAGTTTTGGTAAAGGCATACAGAGATTTGTTTTCCTGTCTGCATTTGGTAGCTGTGGAGAATCCCTAAATATTTTAAAAAGAAAAGTGAGGGGCTGGAGCAATAGCACAGCGGGTAGGGCGTTTGCCTTGCACACGGCCAACCCGGGTTCGATTCCCAGCATCCTATATGGTCCCCTGAGCACCGCCAGGGGTAATTCCTGAGCACAGAGCCAGGAGTAACCCGTGTGCATTGCCGGGTGTGACCCAATAAATAAATAAATAAAAAGAAAGAAAAAATAAAAAGAAGAAAAGTGACACCATCAACATAGTTCTATGAGGAGTGATATTAAATACAACAATGACACAAAACTGAAGGAGGCTCACGTCTCACCACCATCAACACAAAAGCTCATCTTGTTCAAGAGAATAAAAAATAAATTTCAAAAGAGATCTACTAGCTGCAAAAGTTCCTTGGACACCCATTCCCAGCTGAGACCTCCAGGGCAATCTGGGGAGAGGGGTGGGACAGCTCCCGCCCTAACAAAATGCCCGCACACCCCAAAGCCACCACAATGCCACCAGCCAGACTGCCCAGTTAAATATTCTGAATTTTCTGGAGCAACATCTCCAAACTCTATAACACTGACATCCCAGTAGTAAACTATCGTGGGCCTGATGGGGGGGGGGGGGGGGGAGGGGGTATGTTTGAGGCTGGTAGGAAATTGGAGACAATGGCGGAAAGATAGTGATAGTGGGGGTGGGATTGGTGTTGGAATATTGAGTGCCAATAACAAATCACCCTGAGTTACTTAGCAAAGCATGGTGTTTAAAATGGGGGAAAAATAATAATGATGGGAGAAGCATGCTGAAAGTAGACTATAGACCAAACATGATTGCCACTCAATGATGCCTCTTTTGCAAACCACAACACCCAAAAGGAAAGAGAGAACAAAAGGGTATGCCCCGCCACAGAGGTAGGGTGGGGTGGGGAGGATAGGGTGTGGGAGGGATACTGGGATGCGTGGTGGCGGAAAATGGGAACTGGTGGAGGGATGGGTTTGTTGTTTCAATTATACAATCAAATTGTTTCAGTTATACAATTTGATCATTGTATAATTGAAACCCAAGCACAAAAATTTGTAAGTCTACAACTGTACCTCATGGTGTCTCACTAATAAAACTTTAAAAAAATTTAAAAAAACAATAATGAGTATAGTGAAGTTTCAGGCTATAAAATCAATATTTAAAAAATGTAAATGATCACTCTGAATAAGAACTGAGTGCAGAGAGTAGGCAAAGAGACAAACATGATAACCTTTCAGAGACAGAATGAAAATGCCTACCAAAGAGGCAGGCTAGGAGTGGGGGTAGGGTAGGACAGAAACCGGACGCATTGGTGGTGGGAAATGTGCACAGGTGAAGGGAAGGTGCTGGATCACTGTATGACAAATGGAATCATTAACTTTGTAACTGTATATGTCACGGTGATTCAATTAAAATAAATGGGTTGTTTTTATGCACAAATAGAAAATGAGCAGAAAATATTCGAAAAAAATGAATTAAGGAGAGTTGGAAAATTAGGACATTATAAGTAACTAAAATATAGTTCGATAAAGGTATATAATAAAGATCTGTGGTGGCAGGTGAACTAGAGCAGAAAGGATAATGACCTTGGTACATACTTTAATTTAAACATCAAGAACAAGGAAGCACCAGGGAAAAAAGAAATAGTATTAATATAATGGAACAGTAATGAGTTGGAAAGATCTGTTCTGGACTAATAAGAAAGAAGAGAGGACAAAGGTGGGCTTGATTCTATATCAGGATGCCAAGAAGAAACCCAAGTGAAAATCCTCACAAGTCATGAGACTAAGGTCTTTAAGATAAATTCCAGGTTCTTACTTGGGAGTTATCTACTTGCACAGTTCTCAATTGGGTTAATCTTATTACTGAAGTGACAGCAGTACCTGCATACATTTTTGATCGATGCAACTAGCAGGAATGAACTACTGGATTCTAGTAGGCAGAAGTAATTCTGTTCAAACATCCTCATTGGATATGGTAATCTACTGCAACAAAGAACTGTTCAGAATTATCTGGCTCTAAATGTCAACAGCACCAAGACTAAAAAATTGTGCTCATAGATAAAATAACACATTGAGAATCTTCTGTTCAATCATATAAAGTAAAATTAGTATCCAACTTTGACTATCTTGCTCAAACAAGCACTGTCCTGACATGACAAGGTTTATTACAACTTTTTCATGGCTATAGATATCAACTATTCTAATATGACAGATGAGGAAATTGATCAGCTGAAAAGTTACCATTCCCATCAAAAGTTACTCCTCTGGCAACTTTAAGGGCCCAGATGATATGAGAAACTCCATGTTCACATGATTCCAAACACAAAGTTGGAGCATACTGTTGTTTAGAGAGATGGGGAACTCAAGCAGTGGAAGAAGCCACAGTGAATATTCCGTAGAGAATATCGCTCATTTTTATTAGGAAAATAATATTACCTTTTCATAGATCCACACCAACTTCCTTCTGTTTACTCAAGATTTTGTTATGTCCATTGACAAAGTCTGGGGTCAATCTGGGGAATTTCCAGCACAGGAACCACACCCCAAGTTTCACGTAAAGTAGCTGCTGTCACAGCCCGAGGATCTGACACAATGCTGTGTCTAGTGCACTGTACCTAATTAGCGAGCGATAAGAGAGCCAAATTGTCCTCATGATAAAATTTTAAATTTTCTCGGCTGGCCGACCCGAGTTTGATTTCTCCGCCCCTCTTGGAGAGCCCAGCAAGCTATCAAGAGTATCTCGCCTGCACAGCAAAGCATGGCAAGCTCCCTGTGATGTATTTGATATGCCAAACACAGTAAGTAACAAGTCTCACAATGGAGACGTTACTGGGCCTGCTCGAGCAAATCGATGAACAATGGGAGGACAGTGCTACTTATTCACCATGATTTATAAAGCTGCTTATAAGAGTTTCAGGAATTCAGTGCTCCAACTCCAAAGCCACCACCAGAGTTAATTATATAAATTTGGCCATCTAAGTTAAAACTGAATGAGATGTCCTGGTGACTCAGAGCATTAAGATACATTTCTGGAAAGTGGGGGATTTCATAGAAAGTGGTTTACAAGATCAGCATGTAGTTCCTCTAGTTTGATAATAATATCATACTCTTCAAACACAAACTATATAAACTCTGTTTTGTTTTACCAAATTAGATATTCAGACTTTAAGTACCATTTGCTACCCATATGGCCGAGACCACAAAGGCAGAACCATTTCCTTTAATGGATATTTCCAGATTGTTTCTAAACAGTAGACTCACTCACCCATTCATACATCTCAAAAATAAAAACATCCATGCTAAGAAAAGGTGGGAAGGACGAAAGGCAGAAATGCTGGATTCAGATGGCGGAGCAGGTTGGGGTAGGAGGAGAGTCAGGAGAAGTGGGGAGAGAGAGTCTGGGTGACAGTCACTGAATGTCTTGTCTCAAGAAACTTTGGGGGCCCCACAGACTGCAAGAAAAGTAGGATTATCCAAAGCATTTTAGGGTGACTGGATAATACTTGAATAAAATTATTAAAACCACTTAAAAATCTCCCCAGTGGGTGCAGAGTGATAGTGCAGAGTTAAGGTGCTTGCCCTGCACACAATAGACTTGGGTTCAATCCCTGGTACCTCCTTTGGTCCACCATGCACCACCAGGAGTGATGCTTAAGTCAAGACAGGAGTAAGTCCTGGAACAGATTACAATGTGACACAAAATATACATACATACACATAAATTCTTTTATATATAGATATATACATGGGTATGATGTTTTCTCGGGCTGGAGTGATAGCAACATGGCCGACCCGAGTTCAATTCCTCCGCCCCTCTCGGAGAGCCTGGCAAGCTACCAAGAGTATCTCGCCCGCATGGCAGGGCCTGGCAAGCTCTCCGTGATGTATTCAATATGCCAAACACAGTAACAACAAAATCTCCAATGGAGACATTACTGGGCCCACTCGAGCAAATCGTTGAACAACGGGAGGGCCTTTACCTTTACCTTTACCTTATGATGTTTTCTATATACATAGAATATGTATGTTCTCAATATTTAAAACTGTAGTTCAGTGCTTCATTAAAATGATTCTATATAATATATATAACATTATGCAGCATCTTATTTTATGTGTTAATTTTTAAATCTTCAAGGTATACAGTACCCTGAAGCACACAATTCTAGTCTCTGCCTGTGGTTTATTTTTGTCTTTTGACCATTTATGTCAAAGATGCAAATTTGAATCTTTACCATAAAAAGCTAAATTATATTTAATGAGCTCTTAAGTATAATTCTCTTATGCAAGACTTAATTTGAGGTAGACATTTGTGCTCTTTCAAACTGTACTCTGGGATTATTTTTGAACAATGATGTTTTTCTTTTGATTGTTCTCTTATTTTATGATAAACAGAGTGATGGTAATAAATCTCCATCCTGCCTTTGGTCTGGATAGTTAGTAGCTTTGTATTTGTTTTCTCTGACAGCAACGTGCATTAATATTTATAACCATTTTCCTTTGCAGCATCTCCCAGATGGCTCCGCGCCCAGTGCACATGTTGAATTTTATCTTTTACCATATCCCAGTGAAGTTCGTAGGAGGAAAACAAAATCTGTTCCAAAATGTACTGACCCCACATACAATGAAATTGTAAGTATGACTCATCTCTTGTCCAGTCCTTCTGTATTTTTCTTGTCATTTTTTAGCTTAACCACCAAATATGGGAAATTTCTGTAATTGGCAGCATTATTCCATAAGAGAAGGATATCTCCCAAAATAGTCACTGTGTTGATCACGAGTATGAATGCTATGGGAACCGAAAATACAGATATTGTGTTTAAAGTACTTAGGAGCCAATTTTCAGATTGTGGCTGACCTCCAGAGAGACTAGATGACATTTTGTTTCACATCCTGACACTGTCCCTGACTTCATCTCATTTTCTCTAACCTTACCTTATCCAATTTTCCTAACCCAATGATTTTCAACATAATCTAACCAGCCAATGACAACAAATTTCATAAAACATCCCTTGAAAACTACAAAAAAAAGCACAAAGTACAAATAAAAATTATTTATAGCTCTCATTCTTATATAACTCGAACATTCAGTCCCCTACGTCTTGGCAGCAGGATCCTACATTAATTATATTAATTCCTCCTTTCCTACATCCTCTGTACTTTCACCAAATCTATCATTTGCTCTCCTTTTGTTTTTTCGTGGGTTTATTTTTTGTGGGTGGTGGTAAGAAAAGGGGGGCTGAGGATGTGCTACACCCAGCTATGCTCAGCGTTTAATCCTGGCTCTGAGCTCAGATCTCACCTCTGGTGGTGCTCGGGGAAATATATGTGGTGGCAGGAATCAAGCATAGGTTCCACCTCATACAAGGACCAGTGCCTTAACCACTGTACTATCTCTCTGGCCCCAGTATTCTGCGTAAGTTTCAAAATAAAACATGAGGCTTAGACTGAAATTCCTCTTTTGCCTATGAATGTCAATTTCATTATCCCCACACCATTTGTTGAATTCTTACTTCATGCCTTCGCTCTTCTGTGAAACATAACCAGGAATATGTGTGTGCATGTCCTCTTGCTCCATATATAGCCATATTTTTAAGTCACACCAGCTTTGCTGTTCCCTGAGTATTTCCTGTGACTTCTGTGATGGAGCACCCATGGACATGCATCCCTCTGTCCTTCCCTGCCAACTCGGAGATCAACCTCAGGATGAGGCTTTATATTGTCAGCATCTCTCTCCTCCTGAATACTTAGAACACTTGCCATCTTTTACTTAGTCCTACCCATCATTTTCTTCTAGTATGTGGGAAAGAGAAAATAAAGTTTCAGTACAGTAAAGACAGTTTGATATCTTACCATTTGTCACAACATCAGCAACCAGATATATACTTCCTGACAATTTATCACTAGTTTTCATACAAAATTCTCTACCTCAATATCAAGAAACTTCTTAAACTTCATCATTTGTAATAAAAGCAAACACATCATGACAAGCCATCAGCAGTTCAGAGGAGGTAAAATAAACTTGGGTTTGATTTATGTCAAGCAATATGTACTTTTAAGTAGCATACACAAATATGTGGAGATTATTTTACAATGATTGTTATGGCTACAAATTATCTAATGGCTTGCAATAATACTGGATCCTCACACATTCATGGCCTGATGATGAGAAATCACCAAAAGACCATCGGTCTGTGTTTGTAGCAGCAATACAGACAGTTTATGCACTGCACATATTTTTAAATGGTACCCAAAAGTCCGATAGCACAGCGGGTAGGGCGTTTGCCTTGCACGCAGCCAACATGGCTGACCAGAGTTCGATTCTTCCACCCCTCTCGGAGAGCCCAGCAAGCTACCGAGAGTATTCGATATGCCAGACACAGTAACAACAAAGTCTCCAATGGAGATGTTACTGGGCCCGCTCGAGCAAATCGATGATCAACGGGAGGGCCTTTACTTTTACTTTTACCCAAAAGTCCATGCTTAGAAAACTCTTAATATATGAGAAGAAATGTGAATTACTGCATAAGTGACCATTTTAATAGTAATGATCTTCATATAATAAGTTTAGCAAGTGAGAAACTGGGTGAATTTTGAGAGCAGTTGGATATAAAAGACCTAAATACTACATTTTTTTCTCCCATTAGACTCTTGTCTATATTATTGCAATAATAATATTTATATTGATGAGTACTGATGGCAGATTCTTCAGGTGTTCAGGTCTGACCTTGTCTGGGCCTGGTGCTGTTCACTTCTTTACCGACGAAATGGCATGTCGGATTTCAGAAGTGAGAACGTTGGGAATGACATATCCATCCTGCGGAATGTGGCAGGTAGATGTGGCTATCGAAGAGATCCGAATAAAAGTCATGGATAATCTTCTCCATTGCCCTTCTGGAAGATGTGATAGATCCATCAGAGAGTCGGAGGGTAGTCATCTTGGTCTTATAGTTAGCAAAGGACAGGCGGGCGTTGCAAATGCTTTTCACGGCTTCTGCTGCCTTGGCCAGCACTGCTGCTATTCTCTCTTTAAGGTCTTCCTCGGCTCTTCACACACTACCTGTCTGAATGCAAGGTACCGTCCCAATAAAAAAACAGCAGAACTGTTCTACTGTACAAGAAGGAAGACATCCACGACATTGGCAACTATCGCCCAATCTGCCTGTTGTCCATCATCTACAAGCTGTTCACTCGAGTCATCCTGAATAGGATTGGCAGAACCCTAGATGAAGGACAAGACAACCATGCAATCAAGCCCGGTTCCAAAAAGTATTCAGCATGATCGAGCATATACACATGGTAACCAAGCTCACTGAGGTTTCTCAGTTCAAGATGCCGCTTTGTCTCACATTCATTGATTTAAAGAAGGCCTTTGATTCTGTTGAGACTGAAGCAGTGATTGAAGCCCTAGCCAAACAAGCGTTCAAACTCAATACATCAGGATCCTCCATGATCTGTATTACAGATTCACTACCAGGATCTCACTATTCTACAAGGAAGTGATCGCCGATGTACAGAGAGGGGTTTGGCAGGGTGATACCATTTCATGGAAACTCTTCAGTGCCACCCTCAAGAACGTCATGCGACGACTGGAATGGGAAGGAATGGGAGTGAAGATAGATGGTCAGCAACTATACCACTTCGCTTTGCTGATGACATTGTTCTAAATGCTGTCTGACTTTGACTGTGAGTGTGGAAAGGTCGGACTGCAGCTGATCTCATGAAGACAATGTTCACGAAAAACGGACTGGTTACTGACACTCTCAATGGAACGAACATCTCTGAATGCAGCAGTTACGTGTACCTGGTCAAGAATTCAACATGATGAACGACCTGGCACCTGAACTGCATAGGAGGAAAAGAGCGACATGGAACACCTTCAAGAGCATCTTCAAGAGCATTGAAGAAATAGCTAAGAGGATGAAGAACCTCTGGCTCCGGGCACACCTTTTCAACTCCACTGTTCTTCCTGCATTAACGTACACCTCAGAGACCTGGGTCCTATGAAAACAGGATGAGAACACTATTCAGGTCACCCAAAGAGGAATTAAAAGAGCTATGTTTGGAGTATCACACTTCACTCAAGTGAGAGAAGGAATCTGGGATTCCGTTGAGGATTAAGAATCAGGGACACTGTCTCATTTGCCGAGGCATTGAAAATCAGATGGGCTGGACACATAATGCAATTTGAAGATGACTGCTGAACTAGAGCCCTTACCGACTGGATTCCACAGGACGTCAAAAGATCGCATGGCCACCCACCTATGAGATGGTCAGACGACCCTGAACAAACAGTTTGATGCTCTTTGTGTTCCTAGAGTGAGCAGATGCCATTGGGCTACACTAGCATGTGACAGGGATGAATGGAAATGTTACTGGTGCCCGCTCAAGCAAATTGATGAGTAATAAGATGTCAAATGATCAAGTGATCAAATGAATATTTATATATAATAAATTCACAAGGAACCACAAAGTCAACAACTTTTGTTTGTACAGAAGACCCAAATTTTAATAACTGAATTTAAAAGACTTTGGGGTTGGGGTGGTTGGGTAAGAGAAGGAACCTGGGGACACTGGTAAAGGAAGTTGACACTGGTGGCAGGATCGGTGATGGAACACTGTATGTCAAAAACCCAGCTATGAATAATTTCGTATTTGATGGCGCTTTGGGCTGGAGCAATAGCACAGCAGTAGGGTGTTTGTCTTGCATGCAGCCAACATGGCCAACCCGAGTTCGATTCCTCTGCCCCTCTTGGAGAGCCCGGCAAGCTACTGAGAGTATCTCGCTCGCACGGCAAAGCCTGGCAAGCTCCCCGTGATGCATTCGATATGCCAAACACAGTAACAACAAGTCTCACGATGGAGATGTTACTGGGCCCGAGAGGACAGTGACAGTGTGGTGCTTTACTAAAATAAAATGGGGGGGGGGAAGAGAAATGCGAAAGAAAAGTGTGTCATTTTTAAGTTTTACTCTTTCTTGCCTCCGCTGTGTAAGGCTACGCCCAGCCCTTTCATGCCAAGCCCTCCGTTATGTTGGTGCATCTTATCTGTACTTTCTGGGAAGCCCAATAGATTATCACATGGCATCTGCCCTTGTTTTTAACTCCTCCCCTGTTTTGCTTCCTGAGTGCCTCAGCCCTCAGCACAGCTGGAATTTTTCAAACTAACAAAGTCATGCAATGTTCCAGGAAGCAGGAGAGAAGGACCTCAGGACCCTTTTTTACATAAATCTTTTCAATTCATTCAAAGGGGCTGTAACATTGCTTCACCAAAGACTTTCACAGACTCTTCAAAACAGTTCAGTTCTTTTCCTCTTAATTCATGGTCCTCACCCTAATACTCAAACCTGAAAGAGTCTGGGACAAGAACATGCCCAAATATCCCATCAATGCCTTCCCTGCAGATACCAAAGCTTTCATAATGTATCAAGTTTGTCTGCTTGGTAGTTTCCACAGCGAGTCCTAATAGGAGTCCTAATAGGCTTTGCTGAAGTCAGCCTGATGAATCAGCTAGAAATTTCCAGACTGACATAATGGGCTTCAGGTTGGATGGCACCCGGGGTAATATACACAGACCCCACTGTTTTAAGATTCTGGGTCCAGAGGCATTTTTTGGTCCACTCTATCTTTGACATTCAGTTTAAAACCATCCTTTTATAAAGAGCATTAGAATGAAATTCTATCTTATGGCAGAATTATTGTGTGATGGTTTATGTTCTGATAATTTTTGATTAGTATAATTTAGGTTCGTGTTTAGGATTGTGTTGATGCTAATGTTTGGATACATTGTTACCACAGCTCACCATCACCAAAGGCTCAGGATCATCTACCAGCCTCATTGTCACCTGCAGTCCACTTCCTTATACCCCCATTTTCTTCTCCCTGACTGGTGATCTCAAATTTGTAATACAAACAAGAATTTGTCATCATTTACTACTCTGCATTTCCTTGATTTATTTCTCTACATAACACAGATGAGTGAAATCATCAAGCTGTCTATTTCCCTCTGACTTATTTCCTTTAACATGCTACCTTCCAGTTCCATCCCAGCTGCTGCATTAATGTAGTTTGCCCATTTCAGACCTTTGTTCGACACTATCCTACTTTGAAGTATGAAGAAGAAATTTGAAAGGACAGAACAGGTATAATCTGTCTTACCTTTAGTTTCACCTTGAGTTACCTTGCAATAAGCATGTATAGTCATAAGTTTTGCAATTATTAGCTTTGCACTTGATATTCAAAGAACAATGAAAAACTTTATAAATGAAGAGGTTGAAACCATGAGGTCAAGCATCTTTTTCTTCTCTCTCTCTCTCTCTCTCTCTCTCTCTCTCTCTCTCTCTCTCTCTCTCTCCTCTCTTTAATGTTTTTTTGATTTTTAACTTTTTGGGTCACACCCAGAGATGCTCAGGGATCACTCCTGGCTCTGCACTCATGAATTACTCCTAGCAGTGCTTGGGGACTATATAGAATGCAGGGGATCGAACCCAGGTCGGCTGCATGCAAGGGAAACACCTTACCTGCTGTGCTACTGCTCGGGCCCCATCTTTTAAATTTCTGGTTTGTTTTTCTCTGTTTTGGTTTTGGGCCACAACGAGCTCTGCTTACCCCTGGTTTGGCTTTCAGGGATCACTCTTGGTGGGATGTGGGGGCCATATGGATTGATGGGGATTAACTGTGTCAGTTGTATGCAAGGCAAGTGTCCTATCTACTTTATCTCCGGTCCCCAGTCATAAACTATATTTTATGTCTAAAACTGCCTAAATCTAAAGTCCCTACTGATCCCACCGAAGAAGTCAATTCTCTTATGTTATTAACCTTCCCTTTATTCTCACTCCTTTTCATGAACTTGTTTCCTCACTCTTTTTCTCACAAGCTCTAATCACAATTTAGTTTCCAGAGTTTTATTCGCCTATTACTATCATGGAAATGCACTATTTACTGGATTGTGGCGTCAAATAGTACACAGTAGCACTTGCATAAAATCTAACAGATATTATTATTTACCTTAACCATTTTTATAGTGAATGTAACAATTTAAAACCAATAATTTCAGAATTTGTTAGAAGGCAATGGCACATACGTTAATAAGACTTGGTACTTATAAAAAATAACTTTGCTTGCAAACAATAGCACCCAAAAGGAGAGAGAGAACAAAAGGGAATGCCCTGCCACAGAGGTAGGGTGGGATGGGGGGGATGGGAGTGGGAGGGATACTGGGATCGGTGGCGGTAGAGAATGGGCACTGGTGGAGGGATGGGTACTCAATCATTGTATAACTGAAACCCAAGCACAAAAATTTGCAAGCCTACAACTGTACATCATGGTGTTTCACTAATAAAAATTTAAAAAAAGATGAAGTCATAAAAAAACTTTGCATAATAAAACAGAGAAAAATTAAAACTTAATATAAACATATTTTAAGCAGAAGACAACTAATTCCAAAATCATTTCTTGAGAACTTGAGTTTTCTAGTTATATAGACTCAATTATGTCTAGAAATGTTTTTTCCATCCAATTAATGCAAAATACCAACAGTTGTTCTGTTTTGTGCATTTGACTTTTTAGTCTTTAGTTTGTGCCAAGTTTTGTAGTAAAACCTATATTCATTTATTCTTTCCAACAAGCACTAAAAGGTAGTTTGATAATTACCCCTTCACAAATGAGAAAATCTATATTTTACAAAAGGTCCACAGGAAAAAAAATCATTGACATCTCTTTTAAATGTACAACTTTAGAGCTTATTTTGATAATTCCCAGTGAATTTTAAGCTAGACTTTTCCAGAGGTCTAATGTTCAGTGTTACTTCATTTTTAACTTCCCATACAGTTAACACTTTGAGGACTCCTTTATCTTCCTTTTCTGTAACAAATGAGATAATTCATCTCTGAAGGTGTTTTGAGAAAAAAATTAGGGATAGTCTAGACACTTTAAGAGAGCCAGAGCAGACAGAAAGAAAGGGAGTTACTCGAAAGCCCTGGAAGGGTAAGAGTTGGCAGGAGAGAAGACTAGATCCCACCATGGTTAAAAAAAGATGAATCACAGTGGTTAGAATTTTCTAATTATTAAGGCATCCCTGAAGGTTCTTTAATATTCTGGGGAAGCTCAATAGATGAAACTGAATGACTTGAATAAGTCATCCTCAGAAACTGGAAAATAATTTCCTGTCTGTAAGATTCTAGAAGGGGAGGAATCATTATTCCAGAAGCTGTTGCAACATGCTGGTTGATTAGATTAACATATTAAATTTCATCTCGTGTCCTTTGATTAAAAAATTATCTACTTGATAGATAAGTTTTTGTTCAGAGGAACTAACCAATTGATCTCTACTGGAATATCACTGATAGCTTAATGGTGTTCGTATAAAGTGGACTAACCTTGAACCCAAGCCAGAAACCACAGCTGTACCCACTAAGGTGACCTTCTAACCTTTCTTATACTTTCTGCTACATTTTTTTTGAATTACTGTGACATATAGTTACAAAGCTTTCATGACTGAGTTTCAGTCATACAATGATCAAACACTCATCTTTCCATCAGAGTACATTTTCCACCACCAATGTCCCCAGAATCCTTCCATCCACCCCTACCTCACCCCACCCTGTCCCCTGCCTCCATGGCAGACAATTTCCTTCTTACTCTTACTCTACTTTTGGGCATTATGGTTTGCAATAAAGATACTGAGAGGCCACTCTGTTTGGCCCTTAACTACTTTCAGCACACATCTCCAATCCCAAGCGATCCCTCCAACCATCATTGATTCAGTGATCCTTTCTCTATTCCAGTTGCCTTCTCTCCCAACTCATGAGCCGGGCTTCCAACCATGGAACAATCTTCAGGCCCCTGCCTCTACTGTCCACAGGTGTTTGTCTCATACTATGTTATTTTATATTCCACAAATTAGTGCAGTCATTCTATGTCTGTCCCTGTCTTTCTGGCTCATTTCACTTAGCATGATACTCTCCATGTCCATCCACTTATAAACAAACTTCATGAGTTAATTTTTTCCCTAAAGCTGCATAGTATTCCATTGTGTAGATGTACCATAGTTTCTTCAACTAGTCCTTTGTTCTCAAGCACTTGGGTTGTTTCCAGATTCTGGCTATTGTGAACAGTGCTGCAATGAACATGCAGGTGCAGATGTCATTTCTACTGTGCTTTTTTGCACCCCTGGGATATATTCCCAGAAGTGGTATTGCTGGGTCAAATGGAAGCTCACACCTTGGGGAGCAGGAGACCCTTACCCATGGTTTCCTCTGCTTGGTTTTTGAACAGAGAAAGAACATCGATTTCTTTCTATCAGTGAGCTGGCTATAAAAAGCAAGTTTATAGAAGCATATCCTTTCTATGTTTCTGGAAGCATATCCTTTCCCATTCCCCTGGCAACGTTGGTGGGTTGACATAGTGCTCTCTCCTCTCCCTTCACCATGGGTAACTAATTTCTTGGTAGTACTACACCCTTCACGTTTCTTTACCACATGAATATTACAGAATACAGCTGAACGGATCCCTTTTTAGAAAACAGTTCCGTGTCTAGGAAGTCAAGACACAAAACTGTACATACAGCATAATTACAGCTAGGATTCTTGAAAAGTGATTTCACAGAGGAAACACAAGGAACATAAAAATGGTAATTTAACTATAATTATCTCCCAATGGTAGAAATAGATTTTTTCCTTTCTGTTTTTTTCTCTTTTGTGGTTCTTCCATATTTTGTTTAATGAGTATATATTTTCATAATTAAAAATAAGCAATTTTAAATAAAATAATCATAGAGACTCCTTCAAATGTAGAAGGAAAGAAGGAAATACTGGTGTAGCTCATTAAAACAACCAAGGAAATCTCAGAGATTGGTCTGCTTTTCTCATTAGCCTACAACAAAGAAAGATAGTGTTCAAACTCCCATGTTGCACAATAAATTCAAGGTCAGCTAAAAGGTGAATGGTTTTTAATTCCTTCGTAGAGAATAATTTACAGTCTTATTCAGTTTGGGAAGGACAATTGCTAATGGAATCAGGGTAAATTGTAAGCTTCTCAGAAAAAGATGTTTGTCATCAAACTTATTAGCAGACACTTTATCTTTAGAGAATTCTAACCACAAGTGAAAATTCTAACATTAATATTTCCATTTCAAAATACATGCTACTAGCACCTAAATGGTTTTACTAAAAGCAGTATTTTCTAAACGATGCATTTTAGCATCTCTGACTAATATTATGATTATTCTCTTCCCTTCTTTTCAGGTGGTCTATGATGAAGTCACAGAACTCCAAGGACATGTCTTAATGCTGATTGTAAAGAGTAAAACCACATTTGTGGGAGCAATTAACATCCAGCTCTGTAGTGTCTTGCTCAATGAAGAAAAATGGTATCCACTAGGAAACAGTATAATTTGACCACTGCTGTGAACATATGCATTATTCATTAACTACTTGTATCTTTCTCCACTTCTGGGCCTCTCTATCATGTGAGTAAAAATTTTTTTTGTAGCCTGAAATAGCACAGCATACAAAAGACACAGGAGAAAGAAACCCAGATCTGTCTTTTATAGTTCTTTTCCTCCACCTGTATTTCGCTGTCCTCTCAGATTCCTCCATAGAATATGAACTGTGCCAAATTCACTCTGCAAAATCATTTTTTTTAAATATTTAATTAATTTTATTTGGTTGGGGGTCACACCGAGTGGTTCTCAGGGCTTCCTCCTGGCTCTGCACTCAAGAGATTACTCCTGATGGGGATGAGGGAACCATATGTCATGCCAGGGATAGGGGGTTGAACTGGCTACTGGCACAGCAAGTCCCTTTTCCAAGTCCCTTTCCCTTTTCCTTTTACTATCTTTCTGGCCCCAAAGGTATTTAATTTTAATTAAATATTTTAAATTAAGAATGTTCACATTTTGTTTTAATTGTGTTTTCTGTTGAAAATAACAGTTTCAATGTATTTTCTGAATACATAAGGAAATTAATTAAACCCCATCAACTATGTATGTAACTGATTTTTATATTTTTTAAATAAATTCCAGGTATGTTAAAAATGAGATATTTAAGTTGATCAAATCATAAATGCACTAGAAGAAAATTATATGACTGTTGATATATATTTTGTTTGAATAGATTTACTTTGAATACTAATGTCATGAGGAAAATAAAGAACCATTAAAATTTTTAAAAATTTTGTTTGTTGGGGGGGGCAACACACCTATAATTGGTGCTTACTCCTAGCTATGTGCTCATGGATCACACCTAACTCTGTGCTCACGGATCACTCTTGGCAGCGTCTGACTTATTGTATGTGGTGCCAGGATTGGAATCCTATGGGGGGCAATATGCAAGGCTAATGCCTTACCCACCATACTCTCTCTCCAGCCTCCAAAGAAACACTCTAAATTGAAGAGTTTTCATCAAATATACATATATTATAATTCTATATGTTGCAGATATTGTTTAACTCCAGAACAATATTTTATTACTTTTTATTAGAAAAACAAGTGTCTAATATTCTTAAATCCAATTTTTGTGTGGCTTTTCATTCTTATTTTCAGTTTACCATCACTCAATTTTACCTATTCTCAAGTTCCAAGGTCTTAAACTCTTCCATAGGATCAAAATCTCTTCTCTTTGTGTATAAAATATTTCTCTTATTTCTGAATCAATCTTTACATACAAAATTACCTGAGTACACATTCTTACAGATTGTGCCTCAAAACAGGGACACTCTTTAGGAGAATCAAACAAAATTTTTTCATATCTGTGCCATGTTAATTTCTCCTAGGAATGTATTCCAGAGAGGCAAAAAAGTATAGTCGAAGTGACATCTGAACTTGTTTGTTCATTGCAGCACTCTTTACAATAGCCAGAATCTGGAAAAAACCTGAGTGCCCGAGAACAGATGACTGGTTAAAGAAACTTTGGTACATCTACACAATGGAGTACTATGTAGCTGTTAGAAAAGATAAAGTCATGAAATTCGTATATAAGTGGTACTACATGGAAAGTATCATGTTAAGCAAAATGACTCAGAAAGAGCGGGATAGACACAGAAAGATTGCATTCATCTGGGGAACATAAAGCAACAAAATGGGAGACTAACACCCAGGAGTGGCCGAGATTAGTACCAGGAATTTTGTTCCATGACTTGGAGGCCAGACACATGTGCTAGGGGAAAAGGAAGCTCAGATAGAAAAGAGAACATCAAATAAAAGGTGTTGGGAGGATCCTCCCAGGGTGGGAGAAGCATGCTGAAAGTAGACTATAGACCAAACATGATTGCCACTCAATGCCTCTCTTGCAGACCACAGGACCCAAAAGGAGAGAGAGAGAGAACAAAAGGGAATGCCCTGCCACAGAGGCAGGGTGGGATGGGGAAGATGGGGGGTGGGAGGGATGCTGGGACCCATAGTGGTGGAGGATGGGTGCTGGTGGAGGGATGGCTACTTGATCATTGTATAACTGAAACCCAAGCACAAAAATTTGTAAGTCTATAACTGTACCTCATGGTGTTTCACTAATTTAAAAAAAAATGTGTATTTATGTATACATATGTATATATATTTTTAAACCCATTTTTCAATGTTTTATGTAGATCAATTTAAAAACTAATGTAAGCTCTTGCATATGGAATTCTACATAATGAATAAATATATAAAAGACAGTACAGGTATTACCTAAACTAGCCTATATGAGTATGAACTGATGTCCTGTTTGAAACAAAAGATCATACAAGTAGGAAAGTCCTTAAGGCTGCTAGGAAGGTCCCTGCCCAGCCCAGCCCAGCTCAGCCCTTCTGCTCAGCAGTGCTTACACACCCTTTCCTCCTTGGAAACTCTTCACCTCTTCCACTCGGCCCTCTCAGCTGAGGATGATGTCTTCTACTTCATTTAGAACTTGAAATCCCAAAAAGAAAAATAGAACATGTGCCCTGATCGCTCCCACCAGCAGATTCTCTGTTCCACTTATTACCATGGAAAAGCTCCCCCTTCTCCTACTCAAAACTCCTTTCTCAATTTGTACATGGACCCCACCCCTCCCCCATCATCGGTTCACAAACATCACTAGAATTTACACTCATTAAACGACTTCATTTTTTCTATACAGGTTTATTCTCTTGAGCACACAATTATCATGTTGTCTGATTTTTATTTAAAAAAAAACATAAAACAAATTGTTTTTGTTTGGGGGAGCACCCCTGGCAATGCTCAGGGACAAACCTGGTTCTGCCTTGTGAACCACAGACCCCCCAAATTCCTTCTGAGACCCCATTTCCCTTCCAAATTCTGACCCATCACCCTGCTCCTCTTTGCACCACTGTCTAGTACAGACTCTTCACAAACTCTTCCCAAGGGGTCTCTTTTCTTTCTTTCTTTCCAGTTTCCCTGCCCAAGCTTTCTCTCAGATCCATTCCGAGTTGCTTGACCCCAACACACATGAAATGTTTGTTTTATTTACTCGTTGCAGAGGATCCTTTTAAGCCTATTTGTCAGGACAGCCTGGGTGCGTGTACACAGTATGGGGTTTTGTAATGGTGGCTGCAAGCGTGCGGCACAGGCGTTTTGTGAGTCAATTCAAGGACTCCTGTTCTTAAAATCTTTTATTTTTATTTTATTTATTTATTTTTGCTTTTTGGGTCACACCTGGCGATGCACAGGGGTTACTCCTGGCTCTGCACTCCGGAGTTACTCCGGGCGGTGCTCAGGGGACCATACGGGATGCTGGGAATCGAACCCGGTTGGCTGAATGCAAGGCAAACGCCCTACCCACTGTGCTATTGCTCTAGCCCCAGTTTTTTTTTTAATTTTTTGTTTTTAAATCTTTTAGAGGAGCCACACCTAGTTGTGCTTAAAAGGCCATTTGCTTCCAGAGACAGAACACCAGGCTTTATGTACTCAGGCACCTATTCTTACGGCTGTGGCTGTTTTGGTCAAGGTTCTTAACTAACCTCCATGTAGCTAAATCCAAACCGCCCTGTCAGTCCTGTGGGACCTTCCTTACCTGCAGGATTTGACGCCAACCGTGTTTAGCTACATGTTCCTCAGTAAACTCTTCACTTGGCTTCCAGGACACCACACTCTCTTCTTCTTTCCTCCTAAAGAGGAACAACTGAGGTTGTTCCTCAGTTGGCCAGGCCTGAGTATTCTCTACTCCTCAACCTCCAACGTTGTGGAGCTCCAGACTCATGCCCTGGGTTTCTTCTCAGTCAGCCTTCCCTCCCTCATGATCACCTTTACTCTCAGGACTTGGGATATCCTCCCGATGCTGGTGGCTCCCAATATAAATCCAACCTTGAACCCCGAGCAAATGCTAGAGTTTCTTTTCCAACTTTCTAGCCAATAACCTCTAGGGAATTTACTGCAATCTCAAAGTTAGTCAAAACTAGACTCTAATCATCATCTCAAAATTCCTGTTTCAAAAAGAAAATAAAATCTTATCTTTGAGGCCTGCCCTCAATCTCTTTCTCTCAAAATGACTCAATCCACGAGGGACTCACTTTAATGTAACCTTCAAGACGGATCCTCAACTCAGCAAGTAACCCCTCAATCTGCCCTTCACTAGGTGATGGTGCATGGCTTTTGTCACTGTTTTGCTCCAGGTCACGACAATTAACTTCTCTCTATCTCCTCGGTTCTGTCTTACCCTGCCCCCACAAAATCCCTGTCTCGATTCAACACAGGAAGAATGATCACATCCTTTGTGATTTAGGTTCCTTAGGAGTTTCGAATTTCAAAGCAAAAACTCAAGCTTTTTATTTATTTATTTATTTATATTAGTGAAACACCATGAGGTACAGTTGAAGACTTACAACTTTTTGTGCTTGGGTTTCAGTTATACAATGATCCAGTACCCATCCCTCCACCAGTGCCCATTCTCCACCACCAATGATCCCAGTATCCCTCCCACCACCACCCCTCAGCCCCCTCCCATCCCACCCCACCTCTGTGACAGGGCATTCCCTTTTGTTCTCTCTCTCTCTACTTTTGGGTGCTGTGGTTTGCAAAAGAGGCATTGAATGGCAATCATGTTTGGTCTATAGTCTACTTTCAGCATGCATCTCCCGTCCTGGGTGGATCCTCCCAATACCCTTTACTTAGTGTTCCCTTCTCTATCTGAGCTGTCTTTTCCCCTGACATGTGTGGCTGGCCTCCAAGCCATGGAGCAAACCTCCTGGTACTTGTCTCAACTATTCTTGGGTGTTAGTCTCCTATTCTGTTACTTTATATTCCACAGATGAATGCAATCTTTCTATGTCTGTCCCTCTCTTTCTGACTCATTTCACTTGGCATGCTACTTTCCATGTAGAACCAGTTGTATTTATTTTTCATGACTTCATCTTTTCTAACAACTGCATAGTATTCCATTTTGTAGATACACCAAAGTTTCTTTAACCAGTCATCTGTTCCCGG